GGGTTGGGACGGTGGGAGCCTGGGAGAGGCCTCGGATTCCGTGTGCCAGAGGCAGGTGGGGTTTGCGTCTCTGTGCCCCTCTCCTCTCTGCACCCCTGCAGCTCCCCCACGGTGTAGACGCCAGATAGCTGCACATGTTTGAGGCCGTGGGTCACGGATGGGGACTGCACTTCAAATGCCATAATCAAAGCGGGGGGCCCCGAGTTGCATCCCCATGTCACAGGGCCGCACGTGGGCAGGGTCGGACGGCGGGAATGCAGAGCCGGGCTTGACGTGTCCGTCCCTGGCCCTCCCACCTGACTCTGTCACCTTCCTAAGCGGCCACCCAGCCAGCCCGGCCCAGTGGTTACTGACCTTCACTGGTGGAGCCTGCAAAGGTGGGGGTGTGTGAGCCCTGCACAACGCTTCCTCCAAACAAAGGGTCCTTTCGAGCTGTCACTAACAGAAGGAGCAGTTTGGACGTGTGTCCTTCGTGTCACCCCGACAGTCCACGCGGCTCACCGGGCCCTGCCACTAGTTTAATTGTAAAAGGCCAGGACCGCTCTAAGGAGGCGGATGGAGAGGAGAGCGAGAGGATGCAAGTTGAGTATTTTTTCAGTCGTTTGCAAACACCCCCCTCATGTTAATGGCATGAGAGTTTTACTTTTAAGCAGCTGTGAATTAGGGGGGAAAAAAAAGCGAGTCCCCCTCCACAAGGTGACCTGTTGCTTTTGGTGTGAAACTGCGTTTGGAATGATTTCAGGCTGGCTGTGTTCACGGTCACACGGAGTACCTGGGAGATAAGACGGCCTACCTCCTCCTCCCTAATTTTTTTTTTCCAAAAATGTTGGTAATAATTTTTTTCTGACGCTAACCGTCTATCACCGCCCAGTCTCCACAAGAAACCGACTCCGCGTGGGCAGAGAGACCCGACCTCTGGTCCTGACAGGCCTCGAGTTTCCAGGCCGGCGTCTCTGTTCCCCGCGTGGAGCCTGGAGGCGGAGGCGCTCGGGAAGCGGGCTGTCCTGCATGCTGGGTTCTGCTTTCTGTCGGCTCGCCCCTGCAAACTGGGCCGTGGGTCACCTTCGCATCCAGGCCTCAGGGACAGTCCACCCAGAGGTGCGTACGGGTGCTGGCTGCTGTCGACACTGGCCGCCAGGCTTCTTCCTCGGGAGAGAGGTTGGGGTGTCGCTGTGTCGTGTGAGGCGGAGGGTGCAGGGCGTGTGGTCTGTGGGTTCGAGCCCTCTTCTCCTCCGGGAACTGGAGAAGCTTCCTTCCTTCCCTTCAGGCTGTCAGGAAGGGACAGCGAGGGGCCTCTGACAGTGACGTGGGTGACCTCTGGTTTCCCGGAGAGCAGCTTGAGAGCAGGCGGGCACCGCCGGGGTGGGGACGGCACACGGTCCCCTTCACGACGTCAGGAATGACACGTGTGGGGCAGCCCCGCTTGGGTGGTGCTGGGTGGCCTGTGCTCCAAACCCAGTCCTCGTCTCTGGCGTGTGGCTGCCGTGGAGGCGCGCTGGTGAGCTCGTGGCTGAGTGACAGGGGGCCCCCGGGCGCCC